GTCGCACGTGCACTACGACAGTTTACTTGGCATCTGAAAATACATTTCCTCAAAGGTATTTTTAAAATCTGAAAAGAACTTCACTGAGTGAGAATTAGTTAGAAGCTCAGCAGACAGTTTAAGTTGCACTTTCACCCAAGAGCCTGCAGGAGTCATGGGCGGGGTGTGTGTGGTGGGGGGTGGGGAGGTGTGCTCCGTGATGAGGAAGTTCGGCTTAAAGACACGTCCCAGGTGCGTTCCTGGTCCCAAAAGGTGTTTCTGGTCCCCACCTATTGTTTTGCTCCTCAGTATGGCTMCCTAAAACACTGCAGGGTTTCTCAAACATGCATCAATGAGTCAAAGCAAGGCTTTGGGCACGTTATATGAGAGTATAACATTATAACATGATATAAAACTCAAAAAAGTTGATTTTACATGATATTGTCTCTTTAAACTATAATCAARGTTTCTACACAGACATACAAAAAAGCTTTGAACCGAACATACCGCAATATTTTTATAAACAATATGAGATATTAAGCATGATTACATTCATAGAGGGTAACAGAAACTACTTGATCATAMTAGTGTCTAAATCAGAATTGACCAACTGAACTGGGCTGAAGAAAAAAACAATACTGCAYCACAATGCTAAAAGCGTAGAGGCAAACAGAAAGTCTGACCTGCACTGGTTATAAAGGTACAAAAATAACAGAGAACATAATTATTTCTCTTAAACACTTATGAGTTTAACTATTGCTTCTACAGTTTTGTAGGAGTTTAGGTGTTAAAAAAGATACTGTAGGTACAATGAGACCTGCAGGATTTTGTCTTACTAAAGCATCATACTTTGTGTGAGGTTTAGCTGCAGTTAGGCCCCTTCACACTTTGTTATGCTCTGCTATGATGTGAGAAACRATCCAGGACCAGGCTGGTCTTAGCGAGATTGTCATGTAAGGTACATAACATGCTTCCTATTGGTATGATAGGTCCACAATGGGTTTGAGAGCAATGAGACAATTATAGCCTCATGATTCTAGGCTAGGGTTGGGCAAAGTTGGCCAAAAAATGCATCACGATTATTGTGATAGCTTTTCTGGCAATCAGTTGCACACGATTCGATCATGACACGAGTATGTAACAACCGAACACAGARGTGATTCAGCTGCAAAATTCATTTCTAAAGTTTTAATTAAGAAACATGAGGTTGTTACCAAAGTGCTGAACATTGAACCTGATGTGGTCTGAGAGTGSTAACATGGTGGGTGTATAGAGCAGCATCTTTAGTGCTTTCAGACTGAAGGAGGTTTTCTAGATTTGCTTATGGAGAGGCTGTCATCCAGTATGAAGGGGATGAATAAATAAAGAATTCTTACCAAAATACTCCTCAGATGGAGGGTTGTCCATGTCAAACAGCATCTTCTTGGTCAGGCGTTCCAGCTCATCTTCTGGATGAGCCATGGGAGCGCCACCCTGAAAACCCAAACATACAGAAATGAAGCTGAAGTTCTGTCTCAAGGTGGAACAGAACACATTCAGTATAATTAACATGCTGTGTACGACCCTCAGTCTGGTTCTCCCTGTGGCATGTCTGACCCTGGCTGAAACCCAGCTCACGTTTCCTTTTGTGCCAGTGGGGGAAAAAAAAACTGTGACCCCGACTAATCCCTCTGTTTGTAAAAAATAAAATATGATAGTAAAAGCAGAAAAAGGGACCAACATTCCGCCACATCTTCCTTTCAAGCCTGGTACATTTGGGTGATAGGTCAGAAGACAGTTATTCAGATGTACTTTGAGCACAAAAAGACTGGAGGTGAGATCTGCACRGGGGTTTAATCTGAGATAGGCTCTCAAACTGATGACATAACTCTCTGAAGAGGTGTCTTTCCTTATTTCCTTGTAAGCCTGCCCTTGTTCTTATCGTGCCGTCTCTGACATCTGCCTTCTGTGTTCTGCCATGGGCTGACGTGTCGCGCTTGACATTTCCTGCCAATCACCCTCAGAGCCTGAGAATCTCCTTCTCTTCTGGCTCCGGCTCAATCCCATCACAGGTGCCTGTTTGTCCTTTTCAGACCCCCTCAGAGGCCTGCACTCGATTCACGGTGCCGTGTGTGGCAGAGCCTTTTTTTTTTCCAGAAAACTGTAATCCTCCAATGGTCTTCCTTACATCTTGGATCGGCTGGATCTTTACAGTAGTTTTGATTTTCAATATCAATGTGTGGCCTGAAATCRACACTGACCTTTGAGGTGCTCCTAATTGTGACATCGGGGAGTTGTGGGGTACATTAGCAAACAGCCTGGCTTTGTATTCATTTCTTTATGGTTTAACATGTCAAATAAACAAATCTGCATTGTCAATGAGAGATTTAAAACATATTTTTGGATTTGGACGTAAGAGGAATTATCCAGGTATTACTGAATGTGCATTATTCATTTGTATCTAATCTATGGATAATTAACACAGATATAATGAGGGCTCCTTTACACCCTGTAGGCAAAGTTTATCCAAACTATTTGATTCAAACAGTYGTTTTAAGTCCAAATGTCAAAAGGGCTTTAATAAAAGAGRGTTTGTGTTTTTAATCTAAAAAGAAAATGGAACAAAGTGCATGTCACSGTTTAGTTCTTTGAATAACAGGATGTGTATTTAAAATCATGGAGGTTAGTGATGAACGCACTCTTATATTGTTTTATTACCAGAAGCATGACACTTCAACTCATATGGGTGTAAGAAAATATTGATTTTCTTACACCCGTATGTTCTTACACATGCAATATTGTGTTATCACAATATTACATTTCCTGATACTGTATCAATTCTCAAAAGCACTGTATGTATTTTTAATTAAGGCTTTAAGTGTGGATGAAGAAGAAATGTGAAATAGAAATGAAGTTCTAGCTATTGTTCAGTGCTCTGATTCCATAAAATTAAATTGAATTTAATCAGATTTTATGAATATTATGCATGGTGTGGTCTCCGTACAGAGTTGTGTAAAAAAAAAAATCTTTTAAAGAAAAAAAATGGCAACATATTGCAATATATCATATTGTGAGCCCTGTGTCGTGATATGTATCATTTCAACAAATTCTTGCCAAGACACAGCACCATTAATACAGCATGTACTACAGTACCTTTGCAGAAAGGGCAGAATTGTGTTTGACTCTAGAAAAACCTAAAAAAATTTAAATAAAAAAWTTTTTTTGCCCCAGTGTTTTTAAGCACTGTGTTTGGTTTGTATCCGTAGTACTTTTCAATAACATGGAACAGTTTTATGAAACACCAAGTATTTGACTTTTTGACTGAGTGGTAAAGGGAGTCGTCCTCTAACCAGAGAGTTGGCAGTTTGATTTCCCGCTATTCAGTAACATGTTGAAATGTCCCTGCGCAAGACACTAAATCCCACTGTGTGATTTAAAGCAGTGATTAGTCTCTATAGATTGATTTGAACATGTTAGCTTTGTAGAGAGATCTAATAGAGTGCTGTGTGAATGTATAAATGAGGGCAAKGATTGTAGTATAAAAAGCTTTGAGTATTCTTGTTGGATAGAAAGGCTCTGTATAAGTACAGTCCATTTACCATCTAAAACAGTGGTTCCCAAAGTTGGGGTCAGGACCCACAGTGGGGTCCCGAAACATTAACGTGGGGTCCTGAAAATTTTTTCGGATTTAATTACATTTAAAATGATAACTAACAAAACTTTTTTGCCTTTGCTGTTACAAAAGAGTAAGATTAGCGTACTTAAAATGTACAAAAAATAGCATAATGCATATTGTTTCTATGCTCTTGTTTATTTGATGTGAAAACAATTTTCATTAACCAACAACAGCRGGGGGCTCAGGTCTCTGCTTCGAGTATTTTGTGGGTCAAAAGCTGAAAGGTTTGGGAACCACTGATCTAAAATAACGCCTGTTAAGTTTACTCCTTAAAGTCCACATCACACTGGAGGACAACACAATGATAAAGAAAAATTKATCCGGAACATGAATGTTTACTGGATCTTGATGAGGTCATTAGGGGAATAAGAACTCAGTGAGCTCTTCAATATGTGTAATAGGTTTTGAATTGGTTAAGAGCAGTGGCTCRTAACCCAGGATCCAARCAATGACCTTCTTGCTGTGAGGCATCAGTGCTAACCACTGATCCACTGTGCTGCTTTATTAGCCACACAGTGATAATAAYGATGTTTTTATTTCATTCTCTTTCAGTGTGATGTGATCTTTGCTCCCTGGGGACTGAGAGAGCTGAAGCCTGGGGACATGATGTGATCATGGGAACAAGTAAAGGATTGTTGTGGGTGAGTGCAGTGAAGGTGCAGGAGAGTGTCTTTGGTAACACTGAAAATAAAAATAAAACTATTTGATGAGTTCTAAGAACACAGCAGCATCATGYTTAGAGGTTGCAGAAATATAAATAAGTTGTTTAGGTCACAGAGAACGTAGCGTAATCTTTACCCAGCGTGAAGATGAGCTTCATGCTAACAAGTGAGCACAGATTTCATAAATGCATAGCAGTCTTGTTTTGACAATGTTTGTTCACAGGTGCACTTTCTTATCAAGCTGTTCTACAAAGTGAACAGAGTTGAAGGCAAAAACTGCTGTTTTGGCATCAGTGTGCAAACTAAATTCATGTACACATGGAGTACATCAGCTGCTTTGGAGAAAAAATTCAAAATAAAAAATAAATTTTTGACATTTATGAATGATGTAAAAACGTTCTGAATTATTAAAACACCGTCAACATCATGCTCGAAGGCCAGCAGGAGTATGATCCTCTTTGGTTTATAAACAGTGTAGCAGTYTCAGCTCATTTAAATCAAGGACCAAATTTTAAACATTTTTCATGAATGCAGCAACATTCTTCAGGCTGAGCAGGCGTGTGTGTTTTCAATTTGTTTTACTGTTCCCTGTATGTTTTAATCAGTGCTAACAAGCACAGTCAAAAAATAATAGCAACGGGGTGCAGCTGTCATTTTTATCAGTTACAGCAGTGAATTTTAAATTATTAAGCATAAGTTAGGCACAGTTTTTTTTGGCACAGAATATCACTTTTCTACGTTGCATTAAAAGATTAGACTGGACTAATTGCTGGAGTTTATTATTTAAAAGCAGAGCTTTCACTTTTCTGCCAACCAAAGGGAAATTTCTGCTGTCGACTGAGGCCCACTTCTGGATGCRACAAAAAGCATTTTTGCATTGTAAGACCTGACCACAGTCGGCCTGGCCTCATTGTACCCTGGCCCTGGTTGTGTTTGTTTTGAGCAGAGAGCCGCCTTGATGTGGGCAGGATCATAATAAACACACAAATCTTATTTCATTTTATTTGCAAAAACAATAATAATGGACTAATCCAAACTATAAGTATAGAAGACTGGACCAGACCATCCAGCAGGATGACGCTGAAGACGAGAGGGCAAGTCAACATAGGACGGTAAGCTCATGGTAGCTAATGTTAGCATGTTGTTTGTGGGCAGCTTGCTGCAGTTGTTTAGCTGAACTCGTAAATAAAAATGTTAGTCGCTGCAGACGACTCACATAAAGTTAATCTCATCTGTGTGACGTGACGCCACCGGCCAGTGAACCAATCCATGAGCAAACATTCAAACAAATTTTCAAATGACTTTTCAATGGATCATAATGGATTCACACGAAATACTCAAGCTTAATTAAGTCAAATAGAGATTTTTTTTATTTCTAAAAAATATAAAACTGAAAAATACTGTGTGCACATATACAGGTGCTGGTCATAAAATTAGAATATCATGAAAAAGTAGATTTATTTCAGTAATTCCATTTAAAAAGTGAAACTTGTATAT